ACAACAGACAGAATTCTGTGCTCTAGCCACTTTGAACAGATGATATAGCACACCTTCTCTGTGTTAGTGTGTTACAGACAGATATACTCACCAAGACAACAGACAGAATTCTGTGCTTTAGCTAGATTGAGAGGATAACATACCGTAACTGTGTTACTCACCAAAATAACAGACAGAATTCTGTGCTCTAGCCACTTTGAACAGATGATATAGCGCACCTTCTCTGTGTTAGTGGGTTAGACTGATACACTCACCAACACAACAGACAGAATTCTGTGCTCTAGCCACTTTGAACAGATGATATAGCGCACCTTCTCTGTGTTAGTGGGTTAGACTGATACACTCACCAACACAACAGACAGTATTCTGTGCTCTAGCCACTTTGAACAGATGATATAGCGCAGCTTCTCTGTGTAAGTGTGTTACAGACAGATATACTCACCAAGACACCAGGCAGAATTCTGTGCTCTAGCCACTTTGAACAGATGATATAGCGCAGCTTCTCTGTGTAAGTGTGTTACAGACAGATATACTCACCAACACAACAGGCAGAATTCTGTGCTCTAGCCACTTTGAACAGATGATATAGCACCCCTTCTCTGTGTTAGTGTGTTACAGACAGATATACTCACCAACACACCAGAAAGAATTCTGTGCTCTAGCCACTTTGAACAGATGATATAGCACGCCTTCTCTGTGTTAGTGTGTTACAGACAGATATACTCACCACCACAACAGACAGAATTCTGTGCTCTAGCCACTTTGAACAGATGATATAGCGCACCTTTTCTGTGTTACTGACTGGTCTCTTTACACTGTCTTCTAGAATAAGTCTGCAAAATCAAGATAGATTTTCAAACTACTGCTTTTCCTTTAAATGACAAAAAAAAATGCTTTTTAGCATATCACTCATTCCTACTTACAGCATGTTTTAGCTATATATCACTCATTCCTCCTTACAGCATGTTTTAGCTATATATCACTCATTCCTCCTTACAGCATGTTTTAGCTATATATCACTCATTCCTCCTTACAGCATGTTTTAGCTATATATCATTCATTCCTCCTTACAGCCCCACTAACTCTCTATCAGAAGTAATAGTCAACATTCCTAACTAAATGTCTAACAGAAGTAAAAGTTAACAGTTCTGACTACCTTGCTATCAGTACTAGAATAGCTTATAGTCTTAATTCTTGATAAGAAATAACAGTCCAAACTAACTCTCTCTAAAACTTAATAGTCCTGTCAATTTTGATGTCCATTTTGAGATCCCCGGGAAGCAATCTGGACCATCCTATACATCCAACTGGAAGTTACTATATAACCTAGATTAATCTTAATTCTGATTAAAATGTCAGAATAAACATTTAATAACCGTCACTTAATTGATCCGATCCTCAACCACAGAATTGATGTGTGCTACCTAATTTTATGTGGCTTTTGCTCAATTTTGATCTCTGTCCTTTTATAGTGTCAATGTTGACCATCGGAATCTGGTTGTGTGAAAACAGTTGGCCATTCATTGCTTAAGTTTTAGCATGACCTTAGTCTTATAAGATGTACATGTAAATCAATTTTCACCAACATTTGATAAAATTTAAGCCAGTAATAGTTAAAATGAAATGTGGAGAGATGGATGTACAGACTGACACGTTGATAGCTAAGGCTCTTAATTACTGACATGTAGATTTGCTTAAAAGTTTTTCAAACAATTTCCGAGTCTAAGTTCACACTGAAAGTATCACTCAAGGAAATAGGTTGAGGATTCTCTTACATTTCAGTATGAGTTGTCCTTCTTTGGTCATATATGGTACTGTAACCAGTCAGAAAGGGAAAAATTCTTGGTTTCTTGATACAAAAATATTTTCAACATTTTTCACTAGAGTGTAGTACTAGCAAACCATATGAAAAGTATTCAACCCATGAGTAAGTAAGTAAGATTTAACTGTTATTCATCAAGAAACTGAAAATATTCTTTATATTTAACAAATAGGGTACATGCTAAGACAAGGAGAACGTCTCCAGGAATATATCTAACCTCCCTAAGCTTTGTTTATAAGTGAGCAGTTTTCAGAGGTATAGATTGTTTAGAAGTTAGAGGTAATTTTCATCCTGTTTGATGAAGGGGGTTTCCAGAAGTATGTATTGTTTAGACGATAAGGGTAGGGGCTGCTGCTTTGCCTGATGCCCTATCCCTTTGCATATTTTTTGCAATAAAATTTGTTGAAATGAATTACCTGATATGTTTGATGAAGGGAGTTTCCTGAAGTACAAACTGTTTCGAAGTGAGGGGTGATTTGCCATGAGGATCCTTAATCTCTTCTGTGAATTCCTCGCCCTGAGGTGAGTACACATCTCCCTTCTTCAGAATAGTGTCCTGCCCCTCACTGGACTCCTGTTACAGGTAAACAATACCCACTATACATATAGCCTCATAAGTCAATGAACTCAAATAAACTTACATACAAAGTAAAAATGAGTTGACAGTTATATATGTAACGACCCGAGTTATCAAATACATAAATGTAATCCTAAGGGGTTTTAGAGTTAAGTTGTCGAAACAAGAGTTGCAGTAAATGACCTCTGATCCCTAATTGTGATCTTGGGGTAATGGACCTTTGTACAAAGTGTGACACATCATTTTGTACTTATTTATCAGATAATATTGAGCAGTTCAAAAGTCATGCTACAGGGGTACATACCACATCACAACAGGGCATCATATTGAAGGTAACATGCATACAACACAGCACCTGGCCATTACATTAAATGTAACATTCAACATAACACCAGGGCAGTACATCAAAATGTAACCTAAAACACAGCACCTATTGAATGTTACAAACAACATAGCAACAGGAGGGTCATGTAATGTACTCATGAGACAGAACTAAGTTATAAGTTCAAACAGAAACAAAAGGAGCAGGAGCATGAAGAGCTATACCTGTCACTGATTGAACATTTAAACCCTAGCTGTGACCTTAATATTGAGGTAGTTGTGTGACACACTGTCTTGTCATAATACTCATGTCTATGAAGTGTTATATTCAGCAATTCAGACAAGCTAGTATAGATTTGACACCGGTCCCCTTGATTACTTAAGCCTGACCTTGTGGGTACAGACATACAAGCTTTTTGTCATGAAATTCTTATCTATGAAGTTTCATCAAAGAACTTTCAGCACCTAATTATTAGTAAAAATCTGGACACACTTTGAACTTGTGACCACTTGATGTGATCATGACCTTGGCTTTGAGTATGTTGTACTCCAAACCTGAATTTTCTTACTCATAGATAACATTTTTGTATCTTCACTTTTCCCCTATTAAACTATTATTATTGTACACTGCATGGTAAAAATCTATATTTATATTGGAGAAAATCTTCATTCAATCACAAGGGTTAACTAGAGCATTCTATAAACTACTTGAATATTGATTGATCTGTTAAATATGAGTTACGTTTCATTTAACTTACAACCAAAACCAATGTTCATTAAAAAAATAAATGCTTTTGTCAAACCTTGACCTTTGATTCCTACATGTCTGACATCCTAGATATAATATGACCTATGTATGTACTGACCTCGACCTCTCGACACTCAGCTGGAGCCTCCTGGCCAGGCCTAAGGAGTATGATGTCACCCTGTACCAGCAGGGTGGTGGGCAGGTTTACAACCTCCTTGTCGCGGATGGTCCACTGGAGGGAGACACAGGGAGAGATGGGGGCGTGCAGGGTTGGGTAGTTACTGCTGTTCCAAGTGTTGTTGTCTATACATTCTGTAAACATTCAATCAGCAATATCTCACAGAGACAGTAAAGTCTGTTCATGACAAACAATTTTCTAATGGATTATTAAAATCAATAGGGCACCTTGTATCTGAATTTGCCAAATGACCGCTATTTAGTTATGTGCATGATAGGATATGTCTAATGATCATGATCATTGTACATATATGTGGTGTGCTATTGTCTGCATCATATTCAAGCTTGTAATGAATCCTAAAAATTAATATAAACATTTCAATGACTTCTGTTGCATCGATCACACGATTGTCACATGGTATTCTTCAGGCTGTGTATACGTAGTAATACACTGTACATGTTATCAAACACTTACAAATAATGTGTAGACTCCTTCCATCATGCAACAAAAACTTTACAGCTACTGAAGTCAAATGACTTAGTCTTGAATTTTCTGTCTTTGCAATGCACTGCCATCAGCAACAGTACTATTACTAGTACCGTAATAAAGAGGGATGTGAGAGAAGTTTGGAAAACTGTAATTACAGTTATGTGGCACTTGGATATACAGCATTCTGCTGTGTTTGTTTTCAGGTCATCAATAGATGTAGAGAAAACTATGTTTCTATGCATATGAATACATACAAGTGATAATCCATATACGAATCAACTACTTTTAATACTAAATACTACTTTGTATGTTGTAAATGTTTTGATGATCATAATAATTTTTCATAGTAGATTTAGATGTATACAACCATACAAAATAAATTTCCAAGAAAAACAGACTATTTTTATCTCAAATTTCAGCTTCAGGTTCGGATTGAGATAACACTTAATTTAATAACCTTAATATGAACAAGAGGCCCAATGGGCCTGCATCGCTCACCTGTTATTATTCTAACACTTGTAATCTTAAGATTTCATAAGAACCTATTAAAAGATTTAAACATATGACGCCTCTGACCTTGATTGTTGAACAAGGACATTAGGTTGAAAGTGGATCAAGGTCATTCATTTGAACTAATATGGTAGTCCTCCCAGGATACTACAGGCCCAATTTCAGTACCCTGGCCCTTTTGCTTATTGAAAAGAAGTCGCTTGAAGATTTTACGACATTTGACCCCTGTGATCTTGAAAGTTGGTCAAGGTTATTCAGTTGAATAAATTTGATAGTCCTTCATCCCAGCATGCTACAGGCACAATATCAGTACCCTGGGCCTTTTGGTTATTGAGAAGAAGTTGTATGAAGATTTTACGACATTTGACCCATGTGACCTTGAAAGTTGGTCAAGGTCTTTCATTTGAACAAACTTGGTAGCCCTTCATCCAAGCATGCTACAGGCCCAATATCAGTACCATGGACCTTTTGGTTAGTGAGAAGAAATCATTTGAAGATTTTATGACATTTGACCCCTTTGACCTTTGAAAGTTGGTCAAGGTCATTCATTTGACTAAACTTGGTAGTCATTCATCCAATCATGCTAAAGGCCCAATATCAGTACCCTGGGCCTTTTGGTTATTGAGAAGAAGTTGTTTGAAGATTTTAAGATATCTGACCCCAGTGACATTGAAAGTGGGTCAAGGTCATTCATTTGAACAAACTTGGTAGCCCTTCATCCCAGCATGCTACAGGCCCAATATCAGTACCTTGGGCCTTTTGGTTATTGAGAAGAAGTTGTTTGAAGATTTTAACATATTTGACCCCTGTGACCTTGAAAGTGGGTCAAGGTCATTTATTTGAACAAACTTGGTAGCCCTTGATCCAAGCATGCTACTGGCCAAATATCATCTTCCTAGGCCTTTTGGTTACCGAAAAGAAGTTGTTTAAAGCAAAAAGTTGACGCCGGACGCCAGACGGACGGACGGACGCCGGATGCCGCACCATAACATAAGCTCACTTGCCCTTTGGGCAGGTGAGCTAAAAATCAAAGGACATTTTGTCTGTTCAAAGTGATATTCAAATCTAAACTGTCTAAACAATTCGTGTGGTAGTACATGTGTGGTGTAAAAGCTGGAGTTAGAAGTACACGTACTAGTTCATTCAGAGAAATACTCCTGGTAGTAATGTCTCTGTTAATAGCTCATCTCTTCGGCATGTTAAATGTAACAAACTTAATATGAGGCACATAGGACAAGAATGTACCCATAGATCAGAATATCAAAGTGCTAAATTTCTGTTAATGACTTACTAATAAAGCGGAATGTTGGAAAATGAGTCTCCAGGTTTTACCCCTATAACCCTGAATGTTAACAAGCAGGAATTGCATATAAACCAGGTATAAAAAAGAAAGCTATCTCGGCAGATTTTACTATTCTGGTACAGCAATAAAAGTTCAAATGTTTACTTCTGAGGAGCTAAATTGTATTTAGAAATCACATCAATGACGTCGACTCTGTTAAAAAAAAATGGACCACACACATATGCAAGATTGTTTTTATTGATATTCTAAATAACTGGCATACAGTTATTGATTTGGTTCGATGTGTAATCATGCAAATGTTTGCCTTTTGTAAGCTAACTTTTCTTAGATGTTCAGCTCCATTTTTCAATAAAATCTAATGATGTACTAGAGATAATGCCCGAGTTGCATGTTAAGCTACAAAGTGACTGCCTACAAATGATTTTTTGTTCTGTTGATTCAGATTAGCTTTTTAAATTAGTTAATTTTGACTAATGACTTTTTGTAATGTCAATTCACATGGCAATACATTTAGAAGACTGCTGCAAACCCGGTAATGAAACTAACATTAATTAATTGGCATAACTCCACGTCTTCCTTATAATCAATGACGATGACTTCACATGATTAAATGTCTTTCTGTCTCTGTGTGTTAATTAGCAGCAACTTCATATCCAAAGCTATGATGGCCTCCAATATATTGAACAATTTAACTTTGAATACTAAATAAATGTATGTACACTTTGGGAATTTATCTCTATTATTGATGACCTTATGAATATCAGTAAATAAACATTTCAGTTTTTCACAATATTATTCTTATCATGACAAGTGACCAGTTATTTTTTTAGCATATCACAAGTGTGCACTTAAATGTTACATAAATGTTGAAATTATTGTTTAGCTGCAGTCAGGGCCCGTATTATTGTTTAGCTGCAGTCAGGGCCTGTATTATTGTTTAGCTGCAGTCAGGGCCTGTATTATTGTTTAGCTGCAGTCAGGGCCTGTATTATTGTTTAGCTGCAGTCAGGGCCTGTATTATTGTTTAGCTGCAGTCAGGGCCTGTATTATTGTTTAGCTGCAGTCAGGGCCTGTATTATTGTTTAGCTGCAGTCAGGGCCTGTATTATTGTTTAGCTGCAGTCAGGGCCTGTATTATTGTTTAGCTGCAGTCAGGGCCTGTATTATTGTTTAGCTGCAGTCAGGGCCTGTATTATTGTTTAGCTGCAGTCAGGGCCTGTATTATTGTTTAGCTGCAGTCAGGGCCTGTATTATTGTTTAGCTGCAGTCAGGGCCTGTATTATTGTTTAGCTGCAGTCAGGGCCTGTATTATTGTTTAGCTGCAGTCAGGGCCTGTATTATTGTTTAGCTACAGTCAGGGCCTGTATTATTGTTTAGCTACAGTCAGGGCCCGTATTATTGTTTAGCTACAGTCAGGGCCTGTATTCATAAAACCGTTCTCATTCTCAAGCATGAATTTTGTGCTCAAGTCTAATTTTTTGTCCCATTAATAAATTAATAAGAAAGTCTTATTTTGTCAATCATCTGGGAAAAAATTGAAGAGACTTAATGCCAAATACTGTTTTCAATGTTTACATTTGTCTTTTTGACTTTTGACATGATTTAGTGAGTTACAAGAAAGTTAGTTAGCTAGCACAAATTCAATGCTTGTGCATGAGAGGACTGTTTCATGAATACGGGCCCTGGTTTTAGTTTCAATTCCTAATAAATCACAAAATTTGATTCTTCAAAATTTGTCTATTCAAAAAGACTTTGAACAATTATTGATCCTGTTGAAATAATCAGCAAACAAATCAAAAATAAACCCCAGAAATTGCAATTCTCTAATGACAGGGGGAACAAATCTCAAAAACATTAAGCAATCAACTAAAACAAATGGTTTGTGATCAATCACCTGTGACATGTAATGAGGCACACTGTAATACTGTAACCTATAGACCATAACATAGCAACCCAGTTTATGAGATTTCAGATTTTCTTGTTTGTATTTCTGCAGAAGTCTAAAGACATCAGACATCACCTACTACAGATAATTCAAGTATCTCAAATGAAGGGGAAAATCATTAAATGGTAGATGCACAAGCAGTTAAGGATGTACTCTTCTGAGGTTTCAATCACGTTCAAGTCTCGTTTTGATCTGGTGTAACAGGTTTTTGAAATATTTAACAAATTATGATCAAGTTTATCAGCAAACACGCATCTGAAAAATATGTCAAAAAGCTAGATGTAGAACTTTTTTTACAAGAATTTAAAAAAAATACCAATTCGGTGGCCATTTTGAAAAAGTTTATTAATGTGTATTTCTTGCGCTTCAAAAAAGGCCAAAATTTCACCTTTTTTGACACTAGGTTGATCACTAACATTGTCATTGTATCGCCATTTTTAATTGTAGCAGGTTCAATTTTGCTGTACAAATTTAAAATGTTTAATATGATCAAAATTATATGCAACAAACTGGAAAATTATACATTATTGATATTTTCTTTTCATATTTAGTGTAACTGAAGCACTTTTGATTTTTGACCCCGAAAAAGGTAAAATATAACACAAATGATAATGGGACAAACCCAATTTTTGTAGATGTTTTAGAAAGAGAAACACATTTTCTTTTAATTCATTAAATATTAAAAATTCATACATATCTGATAACACACTTGGAAGAAATTGTATGAATTTGTTCTACAAATGGTCAAAACCCAAAAAATCACCTAAAATCACATGTTGTGTTAAATTGGTATCTTTGACCGATCATAGCACAAAAACGAACACACTGACATTTAGTTTTTTTGGCATTTTCTACTATGCCATTAACTCCTTTTTCCAAAAATCCATATAAGAAAAAAAGTTTAATACAGGAATTTTTTGACTTCTCAGAGGTGTACATCCTTAAACAAGTAGCAGTAGATATGATAGATACTAGCTAATGAAAATATGTGATAATAAAGCTATTTTCATTTTACATTAATTCTTTGTATAAAAAAAAATCTAATTGTGAATAACTGCAAATGATCACATACCAGTGTGTGCGAGATAAAGCTATCCTACATAACAAAGCAAGCATGGAAGTACAAGAAAGTTCTCTCTTCTGTTGCATGGGTGGTATGTAATTTTGATTCCATAATATAAAAATGATAACCTAGTCATGATTATACAAACGCAAATCTCAAAAGACAGTAGTGTTGTCCCAATTTTAACTCATATAAGCTAAACCACAGAATAAAACAATGGTTATAGATGAATTTTGTGTTGTTTTTATAGAAATCTGAGCTGAGTAAAATATAAAGTGAAGCAGAAAAACATCAACTTTTTGGGGTCCCAGTATTGTTTGTAACATCCCTTATAATAAATGTCATGATGTTTTGGGTCAATTTGGATCATTGAAGTCCTTTAATGATTACCATAAGCAAATAAGAAATTTATAGTCATAAACTATTTCATTTCATCAATTAAATGCCATGTTATATCTAAAATGAAATAGAATGATGCATGTCATCTTTAAATAGTTAGCTATACATTAGTATATACCTTCTAGTTTTCTTAGGGACAGTCGGGTGACATATATGAGTTCTTCGTGGGCTCTCTTGCCATTCCAAATGTTGAAACAGATGTTGGTTGCCACTGTTAATAGGATGACCACTATTTCAGCCATCCACCATCCATGTCCACTAATGCCTTCATCACTGTGTTAACATTTAATTCAGAATTTTACTTTCCATACAGATCATTTTAAAGGTACTTTGATAAAAGGCTCATTAATCAAAACAGCTTTTTCCGACTTGGCATAAATACGACTCCCATTAAAATGAGAGTAAAATGAATTATAATGTGTTGCAGCCAATGGACATGTGGTACAAGGGAGGTAACTCGGATACACATTAATTGTTGAGATTATATTTAAATTGAAAAGATACAATGTTTAAATTATAAAATTCATATTGTTGTTAGCTTGATATGTGTAGTTATAATTACTTACTTATAATTAATTACCTAGCGACCCAGCAACATTAAAGTCATATTGGAACAGACAAATATAATAAAGAGACACTTCACATACACTAAAAGAAAGGAATACTAAAAGGTTCAAATCTGTATACAACGTGCTCAGTTACATAGTCAGATGAATGGTTCCTATGGATACATCAATAGTGTTAAAAGAGTGGATTTTGTATCAGAGTGGTACACTGATTAAACAGGAGGTGTACATTTTCACTAACCTAGTGCATGTACGAGGGCTATTAGATCTAGATTTTATGACAGGGTATGTGAAAAATTTCAACATTTTCTATGAAAATTCAGCTTAAGCAAGTGGAGTTATGCAAAATGGTCCAATGGGGTAATATAGCGCACTCGAATTATGAAAGAGTACGCCCCTATCTTATATATTGGAGATTGCAAATCTGATTTCTGATCTAAATACACAATCCTTCAAATAAGAAATTAATTTGCAGAAAACATACTTAACATTGGCGATGATAAATGCAATGAAGAGAGCAATACAGAGGCCCAGCAAAAGCACCAGACTTGTCCAGTGGAAGGCAGACTTGATGTGGGTATGATGGAACAGGGACAGATAACTCCTCCACTTCCTGATGTTAGTCTCCTCCTCATACTTGTCCACCTCTAGGGTGAGCTCTTCATACAGAACTGACAGTGCTTCTCTTGTTGAGTAACCTTCAGTCATTGTGCTAACACATCCATCCCATTTACGTAATAATTGCTTGAAACTGCAGATGCTCACTATTCCTAAAAATAAATAAATAAGAAATACATGGAACAATTAGATTCAGTGTAGGGGAAAAAAAATACATTAGACAAATACAACATTTGATTGGACATTGAAGTACACAGAATGCAGTTCAGTTTGGCAAAGGATGGAGTCATGTGTTCTACATTAGCAATAGCCAACATTATGTAGTATAGATACATGTGCATATACATGTATTTAGTGCATACATAATATGAAAGTAAAGCAGAAACACACCGAGTCATTTTTCCTGGTTATATACTTCAACAATTCAATACTAATGAACATGTATATGCATGATCAGTTCTATCTTCTTGTAATATGATGTATATGTACATGTAACTGTTCTGTTTCACTGTGTCTTGATAAAGGAGCGGATTGCTACGAAAATTTGACAACCTTAACTTGTCCACACTGTTGGAACTACTTCTTAGCCTCACATAATATATAAATATATAGATTGTATATGTTTGACCATGAAATGAAAATAATACATTAATAATAAAATAAAATGGTCATTATCAGATGTCCAGTTTCAGTGCAGGTCCAGTTTTGGTATCTTTTATATTTAATGCATTGCTGCACATGTACGCATACCTCATGTTTGTTGACATAGTTTTCTTGGCAACAAATATACACAACTGGCTGCATTTCTTAACTGTAAACAGTATTCAAGAAAACAACTACCATATTTACTTGTCATCCTTGATCCAGGGGTTGCACTCACTTACTGGAATATGTCACAGCAAAATTGAAGGCACATGGCTATCTATTTGATTGGTCTGGGTAAAAAAACATGGCCAATTGCTAGACTGATACCTACTTTTTGAAGATTACAGAGGAGCGGTACCCAAATTAAAAGCCAGTTAATTATATAATTGTACTATTACACAGCCAGGAAATTCTTTTGATGTATGTCAAGGATCAAACTAGTCTTCTAGTCTCATTTACAAGGTGACACACACTGAACCTTTGATTTTGTCATGAGATATTCCAGGAGTGCATATAATATAAATATGCATATAACCCCTGGAGTATTGAGGATGATTCACTAGTCAACTATCTTTATGAACACCCTTTTCCATTTCCGGGTGCTTATTGAAATGACAAGAGCCCCATTTCCCCAACATACCCCCATCTCCCCAATTTTATCTGTGGACTGTGATTGAAGTTGTAATTAAAGAGTAAAGGAAGTGATTGAAAAAATAATGTCCAGGTAATTAATACTAGAAATTAAATTAATGGTAAACAATATGAAACACATTTTGTTTGTTTTGCTATAATTTGTTCATTTGGCAATTTCAACATTAAGGACTCAAAAATGGTCACACAATGCTACATGTACATCAAATTAATTTGAAATGTTTCACCAAGAAATAAAGTCTTAAACTACAGATCATCTATTTTAATTTTACATATGCGAAAATGACCTGTTATATATTCCCTTAAATGAAAAGTAACTCTTCTACATGTCTCATTAAATCAAGCATTTATCATTTATATAATAGAACATACAAAGATTTCGCAATTTATTTACAGATTGCAAAATATACTATTAATAAGGATCTTAGCGTGAACCGAGTAGAATGAAGGACACATTACTTATTAGTTATTAGATATAGCATAACATAGCACTGTTAACATTTTAACATTCGCTGTTATATAGTATCAATACACACTCTGACTTACTCCAACCAAATAATGTTACAACGACGTGTAAATCTGTGCATCTAGCGAAATGCAGACGAAAAAGTTTCACACTCCAGTACTGTATTATAAACCATGTTTTGTTTGCATTAGTGGACATTGGACATATGTGTACAAGAACTTTTCACTTATGAAACTGACAGAACATTAAACAATATTTCATGTAATCCAATCATGATCAATCGATTGCTTACCATGTAATATTCACAGTGTCTTTGACGGTCTGGTGATAATTTCGCCCTTGTATGCCATCTTTTTTTAAAGCCCTAGATAATATGAAAGAAGTAATTTTATTGGCTCTTTAATTCGCATTTGGCCAATGAAATTAGACAACACAGTTATCCATTCGGTATCTCTCTGGTATCTCATTCGGAAGGCGGGACGTCTGCTTCTTCTATTTCTGAAAGAATTAGATAATAATTACATTTTTATATTGTTTCGGTTGTCTTGACTGGATTTACAAATATGAGATTTCAATGTCAGCCATGATTAATCAAATGTGCCAAGGCCTTATTCAAAATTCCAAAGAAAAGAGAAAAAAACCCAACAATAAACCATCTCATTCCCACAATGATCACTAGGCCTAATGCCTGCATGTGTTTCTATATGCCCAAGAGAGGCTAATATATGAGAGTTTATGATAGTTTGTTCAGTAGCATGTTATGATGAAGAAATATAAAGTTTGCTCAAGGTCACAGGGGTCAAACGTATACAGAGGTCAAACATATGACTTGAGGAATATACAAATGTTTGGCCTGTAGTATGCTGGAATGAAGAATTCCAAATTTATTCAACTTGATGCCAAATAAATTTTCCCTTTTTCATGTTCACAGAGTTCAAATGCGTTAAAATATTTTGAACGACGTCAGAATATTACCACAAAGCCTATAGGCTGATGATATTTGACCAGAAAAAATATGTATGCTGGAGTGAAGGGATAGTTTGTTTTTTGCAAGACTCGAAAACATTTGGCATGTGAGCTTGATAGACTGAATAGTGATAAGATTTTCCAAATAAAATACCTTAATAGATATTCAACAATTTTTTTTTTATAATGAAACCTTCAATCAACCCCTATCTTGAGCGTTTCAACATTGTATATATTTATTAAATAAAATACAGATGTAATAAGTGAAAAATACAACAGAACCTCTTGTTTTTCAGCAGAAAGAGTTTCAAAGATCTGGACCCTTATTACTATAAAATATAGAATAGCGACGAATTAACTGAGACATGTAAACTCCATATTTATAACAGGAAGTTAGTATATCAATATTAGAGAAAGGAAAACTTGACGACCGTAAAATTAAAGTCGTCACGCGTACGTACCAGTAGAGTTTGGTATCAATGTGCCTAACATAATACTAATACTGTAAATAATTGTCAAGATGTGACCCCGAAGATGTAGACTCTTACATGTCTTGAGTAACGAGGTCTTGAGAATGAATTTAGGTCAAGAGATGCCAGTAGTTTTTAAAATTCTTTTTATACCAAGAACAGAATATCATATAAAAATAAAATATCGAGCCAATGTTTTATGTCCTTTCTTTCTTATCGAACTGTCCACACTGGAACACAGGTATTCTTGTGTCCACACTGGAACACAGGTAGTCTGGTGTCCACACTGGAACACAGGTAGTCTGGTGTCCACAATCATTGTGGACAGTGGGACACAGGTAGTCTGGTGAGGAACACAGGTAGTCTGGTGAGAAACACAGGTATTCTTGTGTCCACACTCGAACACAGGTAGTCTGGTGTCCACACTGGGACACAGGACACAGGTAGTCTGGTGTCCACACTGGGACACAGGTAGTCTGATGAGGAACACAGGTAGTCTGGTGAGAAACACAGGTATTCTTGTGTCCACACTGGAACACAGATAGTCTGGTGTCCACACTGGGACACAGGACACAGGTAGTCTGGTGTCCACACTGGGACACAGGTAGTCTGGTGAGGAACACAGGTAGTCTGGCGAGGAACACAGGTAGTCTGGTGAGGAACACAGGTAGTCTGGTGTCCACACTGGAACACAGTTAGTCTGGTGTCCACACTGGAACACCGGTAGTCTGGTGAGGAATACTGGTAGTCTGGTGTTCACATGGAACACAAGTATTCTGGTGAGGAGCACATGTAGTCTGGTGTCCACACTGGGACACAGGTAGTATGGTGAGGAACATAGGTAGTCTGGTGTCCACACTGGAACACATGTAGTCTGGTGAGGAACACAGGTAGTCTGGTGAGGAGCACGGGTAGTCTGGTGTCCACATGGGACACAGATAGTCTGGTGAGGAGCACAGGTAATCTGGTGTCCACATGGGACACAGGTAGTCTGGTGTCCACACTGGAACACAAGTAGTCTGGTGAGGAACACATGTAGTCTGGTGAGGAACACAGGTAGTCTGGTGAGGAACACTGGTAGTCTGGTGTCCACATGGGACACAGGTATTCTGGTGAGGAGCACATGCTGTCTGGTGTCCACACTGGGACACAGGTAGTCTGGTGAGGAACACAGGTAGTCTGGTGTCCACATGGGTCACAGGTAGTCTGGTGTCCAAACTGGAACACAGGTTATCTGATGAGGAGCACAGGTAGTCTGGTGTCCACACTGGGACACAGGTAGTCTGGTGAGGAACACAGGTAGTCTGGTGTCCACATGGGTTACAGGTAGTCTGGTGTCCAAACTGGAACACAGGTTATCTGATGAGGAGCACAGGTAGTCTGGGGTCCACACTGGGACACAGGTAGTCTGGTGAGGAGCACAGGTATAGTCTGGTGAGGAGCACAGGTAGTCTGGCGTCCACATGGGACACAGGTAGTCTGGTGTCCACACTGGAACACAGGTAGTCTGGTGTCCCCACTGGAACACATGTAGTCTGGTGAGGAACACAGGTAGTCACGTGTCCACACTGGGACACAGGTATTCTGGTGATGAACACAGGTAGTCTGGTGTCCACACTGGAACACAGGTAGTCTGGTGAGGAACACATGTAGTCTGGTGAGGAACACAGGTAGTCTGGTGAGGAACAATGGTAGTCTGGTGTCCACATGGGACACAGGTATTCTGGTGAGGAGCACATGTAGTCTGGTGTCCACACTGGGACACAGGTAGTATGGTGAGGAACATAGGTTGTCAAGTGTCCACACTGGGACACAGGAAGTTTGGTGTACACACTGGAACACAGGTAGTCTGGTGAGGAACACAGGTAGTCTGGTGTCCACATGGGTCACAGGTAGTCTGGTGTCCAAACTGGAACACAGGTTATCTGATGAGGAGCACAGGTAGTCTGGTGTCCACACTGGGACACATGTAGTCTGGTGAGGAACACAGGTAGTCTGGTGAGGAGCACGGGTAGTCTGGTGTCCACATGGGACACAGATAGTCTGGTGAGGAGCACAGGTAATCTGGTGTCCACATGGGACACAGGTAGTCTGGTGTCCACACTGGAACACAAGTAGTCTGGTGAGGAACACATGTAGTCTGGTGAGGAACACAGGTAGTCTGGTGAGGAACACTGGTAGTCTGGTGTCCACATGGGACACAGGTATTCTGGTGAGGAGCACATGCTGTCTGGTGTCCACACTGGGACACAGGTAGTCTGGTGAGGAACACAGGTAGTCTGGTGTCCACATGGGTCACAGGTAGTCTGGTGTCCAAACTGGAACACAGGTTATCTGATGAGGAGCACAGGTAGTCTGGTGTCCACACTGGGACACAGGTAGTCTGGTGAGGAACACAGGTATAGTCTGGTGAGGAGCACAGGTAGTCTGGCGTCCACATGGAACACAGGTAGTCTGGTGAGGAACACAGGTAGTCTGGTGTCCACATGGGTTACAGGTAGTCTGGTGTCCAAACTGGAACACAGGTTATCTGATGAGGAGCACAGGTAGTCTGGTGTCCACACTGGGACACAGGTAGTCTGGTGAGGAGCACAGGTAGTCTGGCGTCCACATGGGACACATGTAGTCTGGTGTCCACACTGGAACACAGGTAGTCTGGTGTCCACACTGGAACACATGTAGTCTGGTGAGGAACACAGGTAGTCAAGTGTCCACACTGGGACACAGGTAGTCTGGTGATGAACACAGGTAGTCTGGTGTCCACTCTGGGACACAGGTAATCTGGTGAGGAACACAGGTAGTCTGGTGAAGAACACAGATAGTCTGGTGAGGAACACAGGTAGTCTGGTGTCCACACTTGGACACAGGTAATATGGTGTCCACACTGGGACACAGGTAGTCTGGTGATGAACACAGGTAGTCTGGTGTCCACTCTGGGACACAGGTAATCTGGTGAGGAACACAGGTAGTCTGGTGAAGAACACAGATAGTCTGGTGAGGAACACAGGTAGTCTGGTGTCCACACTTGGACACAGGTAATATGGTGTCCACACTGGGACACAGGTAGTCTGGTGATGAACACAGGTAGTCTGGTGTCCACTCTGGGACACAGGTAATCTGGTGAGGAACACAGGTAGTCTGGTGAAGAACACAGATAGTCTGGTGAGGAACACAGGTAGTCTGGTGTCCACACTTGGACACAGGTAATATGGTGTCCACACTGGGACACAGGTAGTCTGATGAGGAACACAGGTAGTCCAGAAGATGGTGAAAGATGTTCCCACCAAGCTCACAAAAAATGATGTCTGTCTTTTTGTCTTGTTAGCAATGTGAGCAAAGAGAAAAAAAGTGTCATTGAAATTGTCAAGATATTCAAATTATTTTACATAACTTTTAGACTTCCTTGGTTAATATACAACCATTGAAACCTACTGTAGTTAACATCATTCCCTACTCTATAAGGAGGTATGGTGGTCTAGTGGTAGGACGCTGGGCTCATGACTGAATGGTTGCGGGTTCGAGTCACTGCACGGCACTGTGTTGTATCTTTGAGCAAGATACGTTACTCCGCTTGTCCCAGTCTACTCAGCTGTAAATGAATACGTGGTAGGGAAGTGCTAGAAATGTAGAATGCTAACTGTGAGCGACGAAATGGCAGCACCGGCTGTATGCTCCCCAGGGAGTTGAGAAAGATATTGACTGGTTGCAAAGGCCATATAACCACGGATAATAATTTGTGAACCGCTTTGAGATGACCAACGAACTACGTTGTGATAAAGCGGTATATAAGAACCTCGAATTCTTATTATTATTATCTATTTTGGACCAACTGTACGATGTTTAATGGTGAATATACACAAGGGCTATTGAAAAAGGAACCTAAATACGTTCATGTCGTTTTATTTCACATTAAGATATGTTCC